GTTTAACGCGTCCGTTGCGCGCCGAAGATTCTCGATCGACAGATCGCACGCGCCATTGTAATCGCCGATGCGAAACGAATAGACGGATCGGACGCGAACGATTCGCCGTTCCACGGACAGTCGGACGGAAATACGGTCTCGCGACGAAACTCTTAGAAATGTTCGTTCTCCCGCCATTCCCCGCCGTGTGTTCCCGTTTCCCCTTCGCTCTTCCGTCTCCCGATTCTTCTTTTTTCGTCCGTCGGCCCTCGCCCGCTTCCTTCCGGTTAGGCGAGGGTCGCGGGAAACGGTACACGGCTCTCGACGCCGATCGGACGCGAACAGGCGCGTTCAAACGCGAAAACGTCGCCCCGCGCGGCGACGTTTTCGCGGAATAATCGGACGAGGACGATCGTCGATTCGGTTTTTCGGCATTCGAAGGGGTACTTGGTTCTAAACGATCTCGCTGCGCGAAATTCGGCTGCGCGAGCGATCGTTCCGAAAATCGCATTGGTAATTGCAAAATTTGTTCGTCGAGGATGGAGGCAGCGAACCTCCATCTTGCTTTTTGATTTCGCGCGACATCCGAAATGTGGATGAGCCGGCCTGCTCCCGTCCGAGGCGGTGACGAAGACTCGCCTCTTTCGATTTCGACGACTCTCGAGGGTCGCCGGGAAACCGGCGTCCCCTCGAGCAGCGTCGAACGCGAAGGAACGATTACTTGCAAGTAAACTGGCGGAAACGCGCAGGATGTTCGATGAAAAAAATGAAAAAAAAAATGAAAAACTCTCTGAAATCTGACCCGCGTAGATCCATTCACTCTCGAAGATGTAATCGAAAAAAAGTCTGTTGTTCTCTCGACTTACACGTCGCATGACTATACACGTTCACACGTACACCCATATTTTTAAGATGTTTTTGTGCATTTATAATGTCGTAATAAAAGTTTCGAGTCGTGTCACGACGACGGTCGCGTCAACTGATATCTTCCCATTTAACGCGAGTGTGTGTGTGTGTTTGCGTGTGTGTTTGCGTGTGTCCTTGGAAAGATTAACGAATGTCATTAATTGAATGGGATTAAGTTCGATTCCACCGGCAGCCTGTGTTGCAGGCGAGTCGAGAAATTGCCTGCATTAAGGGTGGATGATGATCGAACGGTTGGTCAGCTAGGGAACTGCTTGGAAACTGCATTACCGGCTCGCTCGGTTATCGACAGACGATCATAGTTCCGAATGACGAAGTAGATATCTTTTGAAACTGAACAGCATAACTCAGATAAATTCTAAGAGTAGATATCTTACCCGATGTATTTTCCGGCGCTGTAGCACGCCATTACCATTTCCGTTTCACTCGTGACGTTACCGGCAGAATATAAATTAATAAAATTATGTCATTAGAAAACAGCTCGTTTGCTTAGTCTTTTATCGAAAGATACATCGGTGTGTATATTACAGACGAAACAGATTGTATTTCAAGAACCTTTCGTTAGTTGTTTGTTTAAGGGTTACCTTGAGTCTCTGACCTTTTGTTAATAATTATTTAAATATTGCTATGTGGGTTTGTGGTGAAAGAGTGGGTTGGTATATAGGCAGATGTCGCTAATGCTGCTAATGTGTGAGGTGTTTTTTTATTTAATGTATTATTTATTTATAATGATTCACAGAATTATCTATTTAAAAAAGAATATCACGGATATTAACAAAAGAATTTAAAATAAATGTAATATAGTTAGATTTCTAAAAACAAACAGAAATTGGCTTTATCTACAAGTAAAAATCTACATTATCGACACATTGGCTACAACCGTTGTACCATGTTTATATATTCAATATATTATTTATTTGAAATATCCACTAAATTATAATATTGAGATATTTTATCAAACAACTTCTATAACAGCTTGTTTCTAACTGAATATTTAAAAAATAAATATCACGGATGTTAACAAAAGAATTAAAAATGTATAGTTAAACGATTTCTAATAACAAATAGAAATTGACTTTATTTATAAGTAAAATGTTGAGATATTTTATCGACCAACTTCTATGACAACTTGTTTCCAACTGAATATTTAAAAAAGAATATCACGAATAATAACAAAAGAATTTAAAATAAATGTAATATTATTAAATGTTTCCCAAAAACAGACAGAAATTAGCTTTACCTACAAGTAAACCCCGACATTACCGACACATCAGCACCAACCGTTGCAGCGCAGTCAAACGAGCGTGTCCTTTCCCGCCGAAACGAAATGCAAGAACGGCCGCGACGCTCGTAAAGTCCTTCGCATCGGAGTCGTCGTCGTTGGAATGGATTCCGTTTATCGTCGATGGTCCGCGCGTTGCGAAAGCGTTGCAGAGTCTTCGAATGCCTGCGCCAAGGATGCGGACGCAAGAGTAAACAGGACAATAGCTCGAGCATAAGTATGTAGGTCTCGCCGGGGGAAGAGAAATTCCAACCTTTCTTTTTTACGAATATATACGTTTATTTTACTCGTATTCGGTCCGTACCAGAGTTATCTCTACGCGAGACGAGAATTGGCTAAAGCTTTGGACTATCCAGTATATTTGTGTTCTTCTCGCGAAACGTTGGCGGTTATATCGACACGGTGCACACACAGAATCGGAACACGCACACACGTGGACGCGTCGAGTGTGTCGTCCATCCTCGCGCTATGTACACTACGAGAGAAGGAGATAAGATAAACCCGTCGATCGGAGGGATGAAAGGGAGAAACGGAGAAAGAAGAGAAAGGTCAAGGATGAGTGTGGGATGAAGAGTGAGGAGGAAGGGGAAAGCCAAGCAGAGAGAGGAAGAGAGAGAGAGAGAGAAGGACGAAGAGTCGCGAGCACGATCGAACGAGGAAAATAATTAATCAAAAGAGGACGTCACGGTGAGTGAATTTCAGATTAGGCGTGCGCTCGCCTGCGTACGCTTCTGGTCGAGTACCGTTCGTCTATTTACAAGCGACCGGTGCGAGGCGGCCCGTACAGGTTAACGTTTTGCGGCCCACCGCGGCCATTTTGAAATGACAGTTCCCCACGAAAAATGAGTGAAACATTGTCCCGTAATAAATTACTCTTGCCACTCTTTTCTCCGTCGATGTCTATAGAATAAAACCAGTCCAATGTACAGGGTGGCCAGGAAATGCTACGATACCGATCGGAAACGGAAATTGAATGTCGCCTGGGACTCTTCGCTTGCTACGTAAGAATTCTTCGAATGTTTTAGACTGACTCGATGAGAAATGCTTTTTCATTGAGAATCATGACAACAGGACCGCAAATCGTCGTTGGAAGGTCCGGCCGATCGTGCCGCGAGACACACGGTATACCCTGTACGCGGACGCTGGGAACGCTTCTCTTAAGTCTAGAAGAGGAAAGAAAACGTTAACACTAGAACTACCGAGCATTACGATTAACCCTTTGAACTCTGTGGGCTCCAATATTGCACCAGGAATAGTATTAGATATTCTAATGAATCTTAAGGAAACTACCCTAAAATTATTAGATTTTTCATCCGAATTTTTTACTAAGGAAAATGAAAGATCTAAGAAATGTTGCATTTCTAATTTTCGCTGGGAATACTATGAAAATTAGTTGCTGGTAGGTTACAAGACAACCTGGAGTGCTAAGGGTTAATATGCAATTCCCATAGAAATTGTAACAATAGATTTTCAGTTTCTTCAGACATTCATTATATTATTCAAATGAAGCTATTTTCAAAATCATTTCGCATATTTAATGCTTCAAAGATATCAATGAAGCTATTTATTTTCAAAATCATTTCGAATATTGAATGCTTCGGAGATATCAATGAAGCTACTTTAAAAATCATTTCGAATATTCAATGCTTCGGAGATATCAATGAAGCTATTTACTGTCAAAATCATTTCGAAGATATCAATGAAGCTATTTACTTTGAAAATCATTTCGAATATTCAATGCTTCGGAGATATCAATGAAGCTATTTACTTTCAAAATCATTTCGAATATATCAATGAAGCTATTTACTTTAAAAATCATTTCGCACATTCAATGCTTCGAAGACATCAACGAAGCTACTTTAAAAATCATTTCGAACATTGAATGCTTCGAAGACATCAATAACCGCTAAACAAACAAATCGAAACCGGTCATGTCGACCGGTACGGTAGTTCTAGTGTCAACGGAGGATCGATAGCTAGACGCTATTGCCGCGAGCCTGCTCATCGGCCGAAATACTGCACGGTGCTCCGGAATATCGGGTTCGGGCGTCGGAGAGGATCGCGTGTCTCGTGTGTCGCGTGTCTCGCGTCGCGGAGTCGCGTGACCCGCGGCGATGATTCCCGTTCCCGTGGCGGTCGACGGTCGACGAGCAGCGGCGGCCGTCGCTGCTCTCGATCCGAGCTCTCGATCTTCCCAGGGGAACGGGTGACTAGTAATAGAGCGGACACTCTCGTCGAGCGAGGATCTCGCGCTTCGCTTCGCTCCGGATCGGATCGGATCGGATCGGATCGGCTGGCGAGTAGACAGGCCGAGGGTGCGTTTACGGCGGAGCTGCGTTAGAAACGGAGACAGCGTTCGTTCACTCTTGTATCGTCGGTCGACCGGTTAACACGTCGAGCGCGCGCCGATTTTGCTATACTTTCCGCTCAGGCGGCAGAGCGTGAGCATTTGACGCCGAACGCTGAACTAGACCGCGCGACAGCGCAACGGACGATTCCTTTTTTTCACTGTTTCTTTTGTCGTTCGCACTGTGACAATGGTGCAGGCGATGCACGTGTATACGATGTATAAACATAAGATAATGGGGTGGGGAATGCCAGAGAGAAAGTGCGAACACCGAGAAACGATCAGTCTGAAAATGCCATGGGAGTACGCTAAATTTTAACGTAAATTTTGTAATTGTCATTGATAATTTAATCTTTTGAAATGCTGGTCTCGTGCACCGATGTCGACCAAACGAGGAGTTCGCTGTCAGTCCCCAGGGACTGACGTAGCACTCAACGTGTTAACCGAACTTACATTGAGCGCCGGCCCCGCAATAATGCGGATTTCTGGATTTCCATTTGCATATGGCGAATGTGCAATTGAAATCTACTATTTTATGAAAATTTGTAATGTTTTGAATATTTTTTCTGGCTACTCGTTGATCAGATACAAGCGAATGAAACGCGTTTGAGCTAAGTGGCCGATACGTCGCCGGCGCTCAATGTGTTAAATGAGTTTGTAGAAATTCCTGTATTGGATTAACACGTTCGCTGTGTAATTCTGTTTTTTACTTAGTGAAAGTGAAATTAATGGATATTGTCATTAGAAAGCTGCGAGATTATATTTAGGAACTCAACGGTGGAGTTTCATTTTGCCAATATTTGGATTTATTGGATTGAAGATATAATTGCGGAGACCAAAGATAGCGAAGGTGTTAATTTGATCATTGATCGTTTAACCCTTTGACCTCTGTAGGCTAATATTGCACCAGAGATGATAGATATTTCAATGAATCTTAAAGAAACTACCATAATTATTAGATTTCTCATCCAAATTTTGCACTAAGGAAAATGAAAGATCTAATGTTATAGCATTTCTCATTTTCGCTAGGGATACCATAAAAATACTATAATATTCGAATGTTCTTTTTCTCAAACCGAACAACTAACCTAGGCTGATCGCAGCTCTCCCGTAAACGTTGCAACGCCAAACGATTCATAATTATTCCTACTCTATGGGAAAACGCTTAAGATTTTCGTGGCGCTCAACGTGTTAATGTCTGATGTTTAAAACAAGAGTACTAATCCCCTAATTTCCTCGATAGGCTGCAGCTCTCCCGTAAACGTACCCCGACTCGCGAGCACTCCTCGAGCCTGCCGAAAACGGAAGCCGAGGATACGCTTGTCCAAGATTGTGAAGCGGCGGTGGGTCGGTGGCTACGCGACGCGACGCGACGCGCGACACGGGGCTCATGGGAATCGCGGGCCGAGCAACGAGGAACCTGCGGCGGCCTGGTCCCAGCCGGTACGACACCTGGTCGATTTCCGCCAGTGTGGCAACTGTATGCCTAGTCTCTTGCACTCGTGCGCGTACGCGGTGAACGATTCGCAGTAGCAGTTCTCGCCGGGGCACTCGCACATGTCCTGCAGGCAGGCCTTGTAGTACATGGTCGGGTTCACCTTCTTGTGGCACGCGTCGAAGATCTGCGATCTCAACCGGTTGCACAACCTGCGCATCGAGCAATCATGTATATGTACACGTACGCGCGTATGTATCATCCCCGGCGAGCGAGTAACGCTGGGAGATCCCATGATGTCTAGCGGAAGTCTCTCGACGACTTTGTTTATGGTTGCGATTCGTCGCCTTTGATCGTACAGGCGAGTAGCGAATTAGCGAATGAGAGACGAATCATTGCTTAGACTAGCCATAGAGATCTCCCGCGGTACGTGCTCGCTGTCGCTAGATTCATGGAAATTTCGATATTGAACTGTAAACACTATAATGATTCGATTCCTATTGCAATTATGCACATAATTGTCTGTTCTTCTCCAATTTTGACTAATGTGAACAGATATATGTCCATAAATCTAGCAACGTGCTCGCTGTCAATAGATTCATGGAAATTTCGATATCGAACTCTCTAAACACCATAACAAGTCGATTCCTATTGCAACTATGTGAGCACATAATTCTCTATACTTGAATCTCCAATCTCGACTGATGTGAACTGATATATAGTCCATAAATCTAGCAATGTGCTCACTGTCGCTAGATTCATGGAAATTTCGATATCGAACTCTCTAAACACCATAACGATTCGATTCCTATTGCTGCAACCATGCGAGTACATAGTTCCCTGTTCTCGCTAGGTTCATGGAAATTTCGATATCAAACTGTAAACACCATAACGAGTCAATTCGATTCCTATTGCTGCAATCATGCACATAATTCTCTGTTCTTCTCCAATTTTGACTAATGTGAACAGACATATGTCCATAAATCTAGCAACGTGCTCGCTGTCGCTAGATTCATGGAACTTCCGATATCGAACTCTCTAAACACCATAACGATTCGATTCCCATTGCAACCATGCACATAATTCTCTATTTTCCAATCTCGACTGATATGAACACATAGTCCACAAATCTAGCAACGAAACGAGCTTGGATTCGCTCACCGACGATTATACTATTATACTATTATATTATTATAATGATTACCGATGATCCTTCCGCCCTCTGCAGCGTCTGTCGCGGTCGAGGTTCGCCGTCGGTCTGGGCCTGACGCAGCTCTTCTTGGCGCCGACCGCCCAGGACTGTCCGAAGGCCTGCGGGTCCTGCATCACGCGTCCCTTGCGGTTCTCGAAGTCGTCCTTGGACAGTGAATTGAAGTTGCCGCAGAGGCCGCACAGCCGGCCCCTGTACGAGGTCGGCGCGGACACCTCGAGGAAGCTGATGCCGTCCCACAGCACCTTGATGCCGATCTGCGTGGACACGATGATGCTGTCCGCGGTTCGGTTCACCTCCAGCCGGCCCGCCACGCGGTACGGCACCTCGACTTTCTTACCGTTCACCTTGACGCGCATTTTCTGACCGAGATTCACTTTCAGGTCGCCGACCTAAGACACGCACCGTGAGGAACCATGCCGCAGCCGTCGACTCGAGGTCGATGGGGACCGTGTCAGCTCACCTTTATGGCGATCGTCTTGGTCCACGCGGAGAACCTCGTCGACCTGGCGTCGTTGGTCACCCGAACGCTGAACGTGTGACCGGCGCAGTCGCTGGCCAGCTGGTACTTGCACGCGCCCTTGAAGCTGTAGAACTTGCCGTCGAAGGTGCGGTAGTGCGGGTCACCGAACACCGTGCACACGCCGTCGCCTGCGGGGCAAACAACACGGGGACGCCGTGTTCGTGATTCGCGTGTCGTCGTGATCGTACGTTACGGATCGGATCGAACGAGGGTGATTACTTTCGACGCAACGGGGACAGCACTGGCCCTCGGGGTGCTCCAGCCTCGAGTTCGGGGGGCAGGGTAGGTTCAGCGGCGGACACATCGGCATCACGCACCGCACTTTCCCCTGTGTGCAGGCGCACGCTTTGCACGAGTCAAGTTTCCAAGTCTCGCCATCCTGCCTAGGACAAAGAGGAGCGTTTAAACTCAGACGCGGCGGCGGCGCGCCGGTCTCGCGGTTATGTTCACTCGTTCACGCGAGTTCAGAAGGCGCACGTTTATTGAAGCACTTAGGAACAAGTAACCAGGATGCAATGCAATATTGTAATGTAATTACAATTTATTCACCACCTTTGCATGGCAAGGGGTTAACACGTTGAGTGCCACAACGCTTTTTTTGTGTCACTCAATCTTTCTGTAGTAAAGATAAAGAATTATTAGTTAATGATCACAACTCTGTTACATTATTATCTAGTTATCTGCGCTACTCGACACTTTCATTGGACATATTTCTTAGTTATGATTACTTATAATTTGGAAGCTCCAGTCGCCGGTGACCGCTGTGGTTCAACGTGTTAACCGTTTGAGCGCTGAACAAATTTTTGTATGTACCAAAAATACGGGAATGATTGGACGTATATGAGAGAAGTTAATAAGATTAAGTTATCTGATTAGATTACAAATATTGTGTTACGGAAGAAATATCAAAAACATTTACTCGAATAAATTTACTTTGATTTATTTCTTGAAGAACATAGTAAGAAAATTATAATTGATACTGGCAATACAAGAAGACGATACTTGTTAATCGAGTAACTACCATATCTGTTCATCGCTCACGCGATAAATACAACTGTAGTATTAACATCGTTATAATAAATACTCGCCCCGTAGGTTTTGCCGGCGTAGGTGCACGACGGTCGGACCTCCTCTATCTCCGGACACTGAGGACAACACCGGCCAGGCAGAGTGATCTGGTGCTCGCTGGGACAGTCGTGGACCGGGCAGGTCTCCCTGACGCAGGTCACCGCCGAGTTCGAGCAGCTACACCTGGTGCACTGGTCGGCGTAGAACTGCTTCCCCGTGTTGTAGATCATGGTGCCCAGCATGCACGCGCCCTTCGGCGGTGACATGTATCTCCCGCTACCTGTTCGCGTTACCATTCTCACCGTGCGCCGCTCGAAACGAGACGCACAACCGTCGTCAAGACAGAAGCTTTCAAGGTAAAGTCTGAGATCTTTGTAACCAGCAAGAACTGAGTGATCTTGACGACGACTGTACGGTCGAATGAAGTCTGTATTATTGAGAGATCACTCGACGGCGAGGCTGAGGAATGCGGGGCTCATTGGTTAGCTAATTTGTTATTGGTTAACACTAGAACTACCGAGGATTTAATACGACTGGTATGTGATCCCTATAAAAATTCTAACAGATTATTTTCTGATTGCCACTATCAATACGGTTACTGGTAAACAATCAAAACCATAAAGAGAATTCTTCACGAAACGGAAGTTTCATGAAAACTTCTTGCCTCTGTACCGTCCCGCTGGGCGTCGAGTGATCTCCCAACTGTACCCGTTAGGCCACCTACCTTTGCATCGTGGACAGCACTCGCCAGGGTCGCGGACGATCCTCGAGGACGGGCAGTGCAACACCGGGCAGGCGCGCTTCGCGCAGATCAACCGTCCCGCGTTGCATCTGCAAGTCACGCACGGATCCTCGGTGGTCGTCACGGACCTGTCCGCGGTCACCACTTGCCCGTTCACGTGGCATCCTGTAGGCGAACGAGCAACCGAGGCTTTAATACTTGCTGGTGAATGAGAATGGACTAACCCTCGGCTACTGGCAATTGGGAGCATTTCAAAGGTTATACAATTCTGACATTTTTATCGGTTACTCGCAAGAGTCGTTGCATTTTCGATACTGATACTGATATATTCCACAGATTGTCTGTGAAATGTGAAACCTAGGAATCCCATCGCAATCTCACAAGAGGGCCTCATAGAAAAGTCTGTCTCCGAATGAAACGCTGTTATAGTAGGTATATAGATATGAGAAACCTCATAGCTTCTTTCATATAAAATCAGCCTCAACCCTTCGTACCCAAGAGGCTCTGTCATCACTGGATTCAATGTATCAAAATGATAGAATCTTACAACGTTAAGCTGTATATACTGCCTCTACTGTGAAGTATTGGAGAATAGCTTTGATTCTCCATTTACGTATGCTGTCAATAATTTCAAAGAATGTCTATGTTGGGTGGAGGAACGTTGAACATTCCAGTGGAGGACTTCTCAGTGCAAAGGGTTCAGTTTGTATGTACTATAATAATCAGACCACGGATCTTTATGAAAATTAAAAATTTAAATGTTCAAATGTCATGAGAAACACTAAGCTTTAGATATTCTATTTATCTTTCTGTGTGCATTCTATGTTGCACTTCCAAATTTCACATAAATGCCTAAAAATCCGCAGTCTATAATAAGTTCCTAACAACATGCATAAAGTCTCATTAAGAAACAGATTTCGGTGACTGCCTTGTCAGCGGTATATACTATAATAATTAAACTGCGGATCTTCATGAAAATTCAAATGTTCAAATGTCATGAAAATCAGTCTATAATTTCCTACTACACAACATGCATAAAGTCTCATTAAGAACCAGATTTCGTTAACCGCCTTGTCACCGGTAAACGGGCTGCAAGACTCACCCGCGCAGACAGGACAGCACTGGCCGATCGGCGGCGGGATCGGTTTCAGGCAGGGCGTGTAGCAGTGGAGCCTGGACTCGGTGACGACGCCGGCCTTGCAAGTGAACACCCGGCACGGGTCGTTTCCTTCCGTCCACTCGGTCTCGGACTCGTGGTACACGCCGTTCCTCTCGCATCCTGTTGGCGAACGGAGAAGCACACGGTGCGCGCGTGCGCGCGCGTTACACGAGATAGAAATCGTCTGTGGAATCCGGGGCGGCTCGCGGAAAAGTACCGAGGCTGCCGCCGGCTCGATCGCGGGCCGAGCCGCTGGATTCGGAGGATTCGCGAGCGAGCGATCGATCGACCCGTTAACCCGTTAACCGGGGATCGCGAACTCTTCCTCGGCGTCGGCACGCTCGGCCGTGCACCCGCCCGCGTTCGCCGTCGTTCTCTCTCTCTCTCTCGATTATCGCGACGCCGTGAATCGCTGGTCCCGTTCCCTCGCGTTCGCTTTAACCCCTTGACCGACGATTTTTTCTCTAAATTATGATCGGTACACCTACTTTGTTATTGACCCCTTGGCCTATGATTTTTTTCTTGACTTTGATATGGCTACTTTGTCATTAACACATTGAATGTAGTACGATTTCATAGAGCAAGATACGCAAACTGGAAAAAATACAATATTAAATCATTTGACTGAATTGGATTATTATCGTTGCACGTTTATCAAACTGAACACGATATAAGGCAAGGGGTTAACCTATGCAATAGCACAGAGGAACCTCGATCATCCGATTTAACCCTTTGCACTCGAGAGGTGACTCTCAGTCACCACTTGATTTGATTTGCAAAATTATAAAGTCTTATATATAATATTAAGCTTCGCATGATGCATCAATATATGGAATATTGAAACAAAATAACTATCCTTCTTAATTTATATACGTTTCCTCGTTAATTAGTTTCAAAGGACATTAAATATTTCAAAGGAATATTGAATATTTCTAGTGAAAAACTTTGGAGTGCAAAGGGTTAATTTAATTGCGAGGTTGAGTTACTCCTCTTCCTCCCCTAAGTAAGTCGAGCAGATCTGAACTCATCTGTGAGCAAAATTAACCCTCTATGGTCCAAATTTTTGTTCATGACTCTAACAAAATCTATGCAGTACAAAATTAATAAGTATCCACATATGAACACAAATTAACAATGTATTCAATACTTTCAATAATTCCATCAAACGAATATATTTTATAACTTTCAAGTTACAATGACGTTAAACTTTCACGCATGAACATATAAAAGTTCAAATTAACCGATTACTTAATTTTATTCGCCACTTTGAGTGCAGAATGAAATAAATCAACAAGATGCCAATACTGATATGTCACTTCAAAGTTACATAGGCCTACAGAGTTAAGCAAAAAAAATTATCTAAACAAACTGATCAAAAAAAGGCATATATGCAAAAGATTAGCCACCCTTAATCTACAAGCTACATGGAAACAGAACCGTATCTCACATCTTAACCCTTTCAGGTTGCAAATCTGTCGGAGATCAAGGAACATTCCAGGATGAACCGGAAGCCTATAAGAAGCCGGTGCAAGAGGATGGAAGCCGCGCGGTTTCCCTTGCGAGGAAGGAAGAGAGCGAACTGGGACGTGTGGGCTTTGCGTCATCGCGTCGCGTAATTAATAGAGACGGAGATAAGGAGGCCGGGAGCGCATCTGCCGGTCGACGACAGGCCGCGCGCGGTGTAAACACGGCCTCCGCGCGGGCGCGAGAAGTTCCTCGGGTTTATCGGCCCTATCGGCGGAGTATCGGCCGTGTCGGCGAACAGAAGCGGCTTTGTGCCGCGAGAACAATGCTCCGCGTCCCGGGCATTCCTCCCTCGCCGGGGCCGAAACTCCGCGCGGCCGCTTCTCGCCTTCGCGCTCGTGACCCTCGCCGGCACTCGGGACAATTGGAGCGATTCGCGGACGATAGGGATCTCAGTGACAGCGGGAAACAGACGTTCGCTTGTACGGTTCCATCCGCTCGAAAGCGCGGAGGACTGGAGACCCCCGTGCACGCCGAGACGCGTAACTGGCACCGCAGAGGTGATGGGTTTGAGCTTTTCACTGTTGAGTGTGATGTCTGTTATGGAAGCTTGGGAGACTCTAACACGTCGCTTGTATGGCTGTGGTGTAGGTTTTAATGTGAAGGAGGAGCTTCGGTCGAGTTTGATGTTAGAACTAGGTTGAAATGATCAATTTCTAATTACTTTTAGAATTGCGAAGGTATATACTTCTTTAGGAAATTATTAAAGGCTGATTTAGGAATGCCTAAATTGAAATATAAAGCAATTGGAATCTTGATAAATTCATGCTTTTGGCATTTGTGAAGACATTTTAAGATGATTTAAAGGTTTAGTAGTTCTAATGTGGAACTGTTGCTAGCAAGTTTCAATGGGGATGAGGAGCTTCGGTTGACTTTGATATTAGAACTACTATGTGGGTTGAAATGATTCATTCCTAATTACTTTTGGAATCATTGCGAAGGTATATATACTTCTTTAGGAAATTATTAAAGGCTGATTTAGTAATGCCTAAACTGAAATATAAAGCAATTGAAATCTTGATAAATGCTTTTAGCATTTGTGAAGACATTTTAAGATGATTTAAATGCTTAGTAGTTCTAATGTTGAAGGCCGTCATGAAACTTTGAAAGACTCAAACCCATCACTCATACCGATGCCTGCACTGCAAGTTTCAACGTGCACGAGGACCTCCAGTTGACATTAAAGGCTCCCGTGCAAGTTGAAGCATGCGGCGATCGAGCGACAGCTTCGACACTTGTTCGCTTTCTGATTAACACGTTGAATGCCGCGCGATTTATGATATGAACTTATGATATGATATTAAATCATTTGATTGAATTGCATTATTATTACTACACGGTGATCTGAATGTCACCGTATGAGGTAACATTATTCGTAATATAGAAATATTTTCAAATAACCATCATTTAACCCTCTGCGGACGAAGAAAAACCTTCAATATACGAAGCTAAATTATATATCAATTGCTTAACTGATAGAAAAAAAAGACAACGGCGTGTTGATCTCTTGCCGTTCTACTAATTATACCATTCGTCCACGACTTAGTCGTCGAAATCTGAGCATTTCATCTCATCGAAATGCCGGCATCCGTCCGCAAAGGGTTAATTGAGTGAATTGTAGTGATTCGATTTAGTACTATATACAGTATTTAGTAATAAGCTAATTTAGTAGTGGTTAATTTTAGTTTTAGCGATCCAATCGCGGCGTTCAACGTGTATCGCGAAACCTCGGTAGACTCGAACCCGTCGCTCGCATCGCAGCACGTTTCAACGCGTATGGGGGGCATTAAGATGAGTGGCTTCATTGAGCAGCACGCCTAGAGTCCTGGGGTTGAAGACGGCGGAAGACGCCGCTTCAAGCGAGGAGCGGTCGTTTCTCTGGGAAAGAGGATGGCACGAACGAGTATCTGGGTTAACAGCTGGCGATCCTCTTTGCTAGGCTCTCGGGCAATCCGCGTCGAACAGACGCAAGCCCTGCGAGAAGAACTCTGTCTGGGTTACTGGACTTCTTTTGCTTTTTCGAACTGGGTGTAAGAGGTTATAGAAATGTTTTCCATTCGAGGGATGATGACCACCTCGGGACTGATGGAAGATGACACTAGCCATGGAATACCGTGTGAATTTCTATTAACGAGAAATATTAACATGTTGACTGTAAATATACATATTTAGTATCAAGTAGCTAGATCACAGAGTAATATGACTACTGTGATACTAAATTAATAATTATTTTCAATATCATTTGCTTTCGTTATTAAATAAGTATTACTATTCAAAACGCTAGATTTTCGTGGCAGTCAACGTAACCGTTTAAATCTACTTTGTCATTAATAATTCAATGGGAAAAGAGAGAAATTCTGTCTCCTTCTAACCTCTTGACCTACGACATGTCAGGCTCGTGACGAAAATTTTGAACTGATCTTTAGAAACCTGAGTATTATTTATTTGTTTTTTAACATAAATTAAATAATACTTTTCTATTATCAATTGTTATCCTTCTAGAGTAAACAATAGAATACTCAACAAAATTTCTTCTAATAAATCATTAAAGACAAAGTAGTCGCATCGATCATAGTTCTTCTGTAATCAAGTATTATAACCCATTGCTCTAGGATTTATTTCTTATCGATCATAGTTAATAAACAAATCCTAGGGCAAGGGGTTATAACAGTTAATTACAGAATAATATTTCCGTTAAATTAGAACCAACATTCATCTTCATTGAATCCCCTAGAAAATCTTCATCACGAGTCAGTTCGCCGTCATCACAAGCTACAGGGTTAAATAGAAGAAAGACGAAGCAACCTCCTGTCCCGGAAGTACCAACCAGACGTCAACCGTCTCCACTCGAATCGAGAGACAGTTCGGTTGACGTTACAGCATCGTCGCGGATAAGACGCTTATCGTTCGCCAGCGATACACGGCAGCTCTTGAGGAAGATGTCGCGCGCGAGCGGTGAGCAGAAGATTCTCGGAAGGCTCGGTGGAAACGTTTCCACTCGGAAAATTCCTTAATTAATTCATCGGTCTCGCTGTGGAAACGGCGCGGTTGAACTTTTGACATCTTTTCTGACTGATAAATTTCTACGTTACAAAACACGCTCCGCCGAACGCCGAGCGTTCCGCAGCTGCGCCGGATTTCCCCCGGCTCGGGATGAGAGGATAATCCGCTCGGCTCGTACCTTTGCACCTGTGGCAGCACTCGTCCTCCCTCGGCTCCAGCATCGTGTAGCAGCCCTCGATGCTCGGGCACACGTGCTGCTTCCTGCACTCGACGAAACCGTTCTGCGGCAGAGAAAACAGGCGGAGAAAGTCAGATCGACGGTGGGCTGGAGATCAACCCTTTGAAGGACACGGGATTCTTTTGTGGAAACAATGTAGGGTCCAGAGTATAATGTACTTTTTGATGTCATTAAATAGTGTGAGGATTGTTTTAGGTAGAGGATTATATTGCTGTAGACGAGGTCAGTTCAGAGTGATAGTCGAGGAAGCTTGGCGATCAGTTGATGTTAGTCGTTGGCTAGTAGTAGCAGTAGTTTATTGTTATCTTTAGTTGCAAGCATGAGTAGCTGAGACCTTGTACATGGATACAATGATACGTTTGTTGTATAGTATAGCAATATGATATAGCTATTGTATAATGTAGCTATATGTAGCTGTATAATATAATATGTGTAGCTATATACAGTTGTATAATATAATATGTACAACTATATGTAGCTATGTAATATAATATGTACAGCTATATATAGCTACATAATATAATATGTACAACTATATATAGCTATATACAGGTATATACAGCTATGTAATATAATATAATATAGCTATATAATATAATATAGCTATAGTATAATATAGCTATAGTATAATATAGCTATAGTATAATATAGCTATAGTATAATATAGCTGTAGTATAATATAGCTACAATATAATATAGCTATAGTATAATATAGCTACAATATAATATAGTTATAGTATAATATAGCTACAATATAACATAGCTATAGTATAATATAGCTATATAATATAATATATATTGCTATATAGCAACATAGCAATACAATAACGTTCACAATTACTAATTCTATTACATGCTCAGGTATACAAAAGCCATTCATTTCTGCCAATTTCCCTAATTCCACGCAATATTCGTAGGTCTCCCGAACCGATCACACCGGAAACGGAGGATTCTCCTACAGGAATAATTTCACACCAGAGAATCAGAGGATCCATTAGATAATCATCCACAAGAATTTCGCCGGTCCTCTAAAGGCGAAGAGGAAGAAGGAGGAATCCGCGCGAGAATTTCGTTAGAGCCGAGAACCGTCAATTCCCAGCTCGATCGGCCGCCGTCGAGATCCCCGGTGCACAATTGCTCGTTCGCGCGGCGTTATCGCGACCTATAATTAAACCCTTGGGATTTATCTCGCGGCCGAATTGCGTAAAGCGGCAATTTAACGCGGGTCACGGCGGGTAGTCGCGCGGCGAACGCGAGAAGGTCGCCGTGGCTCTCGAAAATAACAAAGATTACGGCCGCGGGCTTTCTTCCCGCCGCCCGATGCGCCGGCCACCGGTGGCCGTCGCGCTACCGGACCGCTCTCGGGAACTATTGCTATCGAGGCAGATACGGAATAAGAATATTTAAGTAACGCGAGTAACTAGATAACGCTCTAACGTAACGAGCTATGATACCGAGTCGTCAATGATTATTTCGAACGGCGTTTATTTTCGCAACGGAACGAACAGCGTTGCGTAAAATACTGAAAATTCTCATGGCGATCGGCGCGTCGGCGTTCGACTATCGAGCTGCTCGAGACGTTACAGAATTCTTTTGTCAACCGTTCGGATGACAGCTGCTTCTCGGATACAGCGATCCAAATTAGTTGATTTAGAAACTGAAATACCGATTATAGGACACGTCAGTAACTTTCCATAGAGAAATTTGGAAAAGTCTCCTTAACTATTCGATAGTTCCGGTAATTAACCCTTCGCACTCTATAAGCTTTATTAATGGTACTATTTAATATCAAATATTTCAATGACAAATCTGAGAAGACTATTATTGCATTTGTTCTGCAAAGGTTCATTAGTAGTACTATTTAATATCAAATATTGCAATGACAAATCTGAGAAGACTATTATTGCATTTGTTCTGCAAAGGTTCATTAGTAGTACTATTTAATATCAAATATTGCAATGACAAATCTGAGAACATTATTATTGCATTTGTTATGCAAAGGTTGTCCTAAGAAAACAGAAATTCTAAGGAATGTTATAGTAAATATTTTTTATTTTGCATAAGGGTACTAATGGCTTCGAGTTGATTGCAAAATCAGTTGTATAGGAGTATAGGAGTTAACTCTCAGTCACTCGATTTCATACAGCAAAACTACGAAGTTGAATATTCAGTATTCTCAATGAAACTCCGCAGCGGAGACATTTAAACGAAATAGCCTCGCCGATTATCTGCGAATTATCGTTAGATTAGTCTCGAACAATGTCGCCTATCTCGTCGAGGAACGTGTAGCGTTTCCAGTGGAAAACTTTCGACTGCGAAGGGTTAGCAATTCGGTCGTCGCGATTTTTGACCGCGTTACGCGAGACTCGCCGCGAGCTCGTGTTGTTCGAGGGTCGGCGGAAGATAGTTCGGAGGAAAAGGAGATTCTAGTCGCGAGTCAACGAACCAAACGCCCTGATAATCGCCGGCTCGGCGGCAGTTCGAGCCGGCACCGGAGCCGAGCAGCCGCGCGGACGATGCGCGGAGCATTTTTCCAGCCGATAGGTCTTCAGATAACGCGCCGCGCGACCGATGTTCCTCCGCGACCGGCGAAAATATCGGCGGACGTGACTGTTCGCTTGTAACATATGAAACCTCCGATTTTCAGGATTAGCTTGAAATGAACGGCAGTTGTTTAGCAATCAATATTTTCTATGAATAGCAACCATTGGATTCTATGTATTTTCCAACAAGTTTCCAGTTTTTTAACCCTTTGTGGACTTTTGCTGGGGTCAAACTTTCATATTTAAAATACTGAGTTGCGATTGAACGATTTAATAACTTGAGTAGCAAGGGACCATAGTTTCCTTTTTCTCTATTGTTTAATTATTCGATATATAATTTGGCTGAATCTGCTGAAGGTTTTGTGTTCTTTGAAAAATCTTTGTCTGCATATCTTTGTCTATAAAAATAATAATAGTAAAAATAATTAATATATTAATAATTAATATATTAATAATAGTTCTAGTGTTGACAAA